AAAGGTGAAGCATCAGTCTCGCAGAATGTAGAGGGTTGGTAGAGAGATTCTGTATTCATTGCTGTTCCAGTCACGTGCCCCGCCTTTGTTACAGTTTTGTCCGAGGTCCCCGCACCTAATGCAAGTAGCTAATGTAGGGTCCTGTTAAAGCAAAGAAGTTCCACTGTTTAAAACTTGGAATTATTATAATTTTTTTTTAAAGCAAGACAGTCCTCAGAAAGTGCCTTTTCAGAAGATGGTGCTGTAGATTTTTATTTTGAAATTGTACATGGCTGAACATTTACAAGAAATTATTGAAAATGCCAAGTGTTTGATGGTATCATTTTAGGTACCTTCAAACAGCAGTTTCTGAGTCAGGACCAAGAATAACCAAGGAGGGTGTATTCAGCAGAGGGAAGGCTATTGAGGAATGGTCACCAAATTCAGCTGGTTGACTTGCACTAGTTCAGGTTTTATTTGATGCAAGTTGTCTCCCCCTGTGGAGGGCGAGGGGTTGTGGGGAAGGAAATAGCACAGGACACTGAAGAAGATGATGCAGTTCAGTATGTTAATAGGGTCACAGATGATCAAAGGGTGTAGCAGGTTCTCAAAGAGGAAGGTGATAGAAAAGCATTGTCTTGAAGATTCACGGTGAAGTGGTTGGTCCTGTGGACTGGCTTCACACAACTGGCATTTCAAGGGAGTAATGCTGATATACTCGTGGAACTGTAATGACTCCATGGGAATTTTTGCTGATAAAAATGGCAGCAGCATGCACAAGTGGCTGTGCCCTGTGATGACCGTGGTAAGAGATGCAGGGAGCCCTGCTGATGAGTTTGGTGAGCATTCCTCAAATCAGGAAGAGCTGTAGACTAGAATAATAAACACTGCACCTCAGTAACCTTGTAATGCTGCATAAAATAATAATAGCAAAGTTCTGCTTTGATTACTCTGCAATGTGCTTGCACATGCCTGCAAAAAAAAATACACACACTTTCATTTTTGTAATGGTCTTAATAGCAGTTACCAGATCTTTTTTTTTTTTAAAATGAGCCTTGTCCTTTTTTGTGGTGTCTCTTTATATTTATTGGTAATCTGTGTGCAGCTTGTTGCTTCATGTGTTTGGCCTGAAGGTTACTTTAAACACACTTTTTTGAGGAGGGAGGAGTTTCTAGGTGTGTCTTTTTTTTTTTTTTTTTTTCTTTCCTTTCTCAAGTCCTAACTTTACTAACCATGGATAGGGGGGAGGGAGGGTGGGATTTAATCAACACAGTTAAGACCAAAACAGGTTAATTAGGTACCTGATGTGAGTTAGTTTTCTGTATTAACTTTTTCTATGTTGACTTTAATACAGTACTGGGCATTTCAGACATGTAGGGCATATCTCTGTATCACTCAAGAACATCGTCTTTTGATATTAAGCAGGAGATCTTCAAGAACCAGGAGTATTACCACGAGAGCCTCCCTTCAGTGGTAAATGGTATCTTTTCTGTTGGAAACTGGGTTATTCATGAAGTCCATCAAAATGTTGCATTCACTTATTTGGTAGTTTATAATTGCTCGCTTAAGTAGTTCAAGTACTTTAGATATCAGAATTGTAAAGTGGGGCCAGTGACCCATGCCTGAACTTGTAGGCCTTTCTTTTAAACGTGTGTTAATCCATGATTAAAAACAACCACTTATTTGTATTACTAATGCCAATTTTTAAAAAAAACACATTTTGGAAATCTGTTTTATCACTGTTCTATGTTGTCCCCTTAAGTCAAATCAAAAGCAATTAACTGAAATTAGTAGTAACTTTAATCATTCATCTTTATGGCATTCATCCAATGCAACACTGGCATTTAAACTGTGTGTGGTGATTTTATCTTAAGATGTTTTCAGGAATTAGAAGAAAAACTTCAAAAATTTTACAAAGCAAAGTTTTCTCAAGACCTAAATTCTATGCCAAAACTGCCTGACTTCTGTTCTATTTAGTAGTAGTCAGAACTTTATTTTATTGATTTAAAAGGGCCAAAAAATCTTGTTCCATCAGGTTTTTTTTTCCACGTAAGAAGTAGGCTCTGTTCTTCCCATTTTCATCAGTCAGTTTAATTTGCTTTATAACCATGACAGTAGGAGTTAAAACCCACTAAGGTTCCAGTTCTTGCCCTTTTGACTTTCCTTACTTTGTAAATGTGATTACAGTAGTCTGTGTAGACTTTTATGCTGTTGGGCATAAACCCCCAATCTGTCTTGCCTTGGCTAAGATGCATGGTGGCATACGTGTTGGATTTCAGTAGATCAGAATTGTCCATTTTTGTTGCTTATTGGAGGGTTTGTGATATACTTTTAAAGTATCCCATTTGCATTTAAACTGGGAAATTTGAAGATGCAGATGCTCCCACCCACTGTTTTCAGTAGAAAAATCTGGGTGTGCTTACCTAGTTTTTTTTACACACGCGCGTTGTTGGCAGACTGAGAGCAAGGGCTTCCTGGAATATGTTGCACTGTTGAAAAAGGTGGGCTGGAGCCAAGTGATTTTAAACCAAACTGACTTGGCTATCATCTGTCCCTTGCCCTTCCTACATCATTAAAGTGGAGAGCAGCTGACAATCCCATGAAATGTGCAAGAGAGTCAAAAGTAATGCAAGAAGGGAAATGAAGCCTATATTAAAAGCAGCAGCTCAATAAAAGCTACAGTTAATGTACAGCTAGAGCCTTTTTGAGCCTGTCATCTTGTCTGTAGTTCACCCAAAGAGAAATCCACCCACATGTAGCCACTTTAAAAATCTCTTTCATAAATGCGTGACTGTTTCCTCCACAAGAGAACGTTCATAGAGGCAACTGGCAATGCCTGTCAGGGTTGTATAAAATCAAAGATTTTTTTTTTGTTGGTTCTTAAATCTTGATGCTACCTTAAAGACTTTGGCTAAAAGAAATCCAGTAAATTGATGCTACTTGAAACAATGCAGCCAAGCTGTTTTATGGACATAAACATTTTGGATCTGTTGGACGCTTCTAGCTACAGTCCTCAGCAGCTCTCACTGCAACATGCACAGTTAGTGAGAGAGATGGTAATTGGCTGCATATTTTATTTGCCAAGGCACTGAATTTATCCTGCTGTAACTCAGTTTTTTTTTTACTTCCTTGTCCCCTCTCCCACATTGCCAACCAAAATCATCAACTCTTATGCACATGTGGAATAGCCATTTTTGTCTGCAAGCAGTATCATTGCCCTGTTAGAAAATAACGCATTATGTTTGGACTGGAGTGGTAGGTGGTAGAGAGAGCTAATAAAGGAAAAAGGAAGGGGGAGGGAGAAGTCTGAACTGTTGTCGGTCCAAATTGTTCAGCTTGTACCCTTCGGGGAACGGATAGGAATCTCAAAGGACTTCGGGAATGTGTCTCAGAAATCGGAGCTGGTACTGAGACCCTTAGCAAGCACGTGCCTTTTACTGATCAGTAACAGATGCTGGAAAGGAATTGAACACTTGCGACTGCAGCGTTCCCAAATAATGCGCTCTGGCTAAGATTTTTCACAAGCCATGCTTAAAGCTTCAGGTCCTTTTGACAGAACTTCATAATATAAACTTTTTCGTATCACACTTGCTGTTAAGCAGTTTGTGCTTTTGAATGGGATTGCCTCTGAATTTATAGCGCTCTTGTTCTCTTTTCAGGGTACTTCTTTCAAGTAACTAGTTTCTAGGGGGTGATGTTGTCAAATATGCCTCAGTCAACGGGCGATTTGCAGTTTCCTCTACAAAATTTAACTTTGATGTAGTCCCATTGAAAATAGGCTGGCTTGCCGTTACTTGAATGTTGCCCAGTAGCATCTTTCCTGGTTCCTACATAGCTTCAACCATTCATACACTCCACTTAATTTTAAAGATGGGGTATAATGCGTGTAAGGAGGCAGAACAATTCCCTGATGAAGTGGAAGTGGTGGAAGTTGAGCACCACTGTTCTCTGGAACAGGTGAAGTGGTGATGGTCTGTGTAATGAATTTAGTCACGGCCTGGGTATGGAAGGGCTTAGCAAGGCAATGAGAGAAGACAAGTTCCCCTCTCCTAAATCAAGGTATTTATACAGAGCAAGTCTGTATAAAATGCTCTGTGCTGTGTCTGATTCAGCAGTGAGTCTGGGTGAGCTAGTTAGGCTTGAAGCTGCCATGAAGTTGGGTTTTCAGGATTGAGAAGGAAAGGTTCAAACAGACCATAACTAGTTTAGAGACTGGCGTGGTCTGCAGGTAGGCACTCCAGGGCTCTGGTCCAATACAGGCTCTCTGGGGTATTGGGTAAGTTGTTCTGCCTCAGTTTTCTCTGATCTATAAAATATGGCTAACGTCACCCATTTTTCTGTGAAAATTGAATATTTGATGCTTTGAAAATAAGTTGCAGGGTTGCTGGTTGTAGCCATGTTGGTCTAAGGATACAGGCAGGCCAGCTTG